ATATATATATATATATATATATATATATATATATATATATATATATATATATATATAAAGGAATATTGTTTGGCCATGGAAGGGAATGGGTTCTTGCCATCTGTGACAGCATGAATGGACCCAGAGGGTATTGTGCTGTGTGGAGTATGTCAGATAGGGAAAGACAGGTGCAGTGTGATTTCGTTTATATGTAAAGAATCTAAAGAAAAAAATTAACAAAGAAAACAGAAACAGACTCACAGATACAGAGAACATTTTGATGGTTACCATTTGGGAAGTGGGTTGAGAGGTGGATGAAATTAATAAGTACAAATTAGTTGTTAGAAAGTAGTCATGGATATGTAAACTATAGCATAAGGAATATACAAAGGTCTGCCAATTAAGTTTGCAAACTTGTTGCAACAATGTTGCTAACTTTTTTTAATATCAAAGAGATTATTCATTATGAATTTGTACTAACTGGACAAATAGTTAGCCAAGTTTACTATTTGGAAGCACTGAAAAGGCTGCGTGAAAAAGACCTGAACTTTTTGCCAACAATTCATGGCTCTTGCATCATGACAATGCACCAGCTCACATGACACTGTCCGTGAGAGAGTTTTTAACCAGGAAATAAATAACTGTATCGGAACACCCTCCCTACTCACCTGATCTGGCCCCCAATGACTTCTTTCTTTACCCAAAGATAAAGGACATATTGAAAGGAAGACATTTTGATGACATTCAGGACATTCAGGATATCAGGACAAGAGTAATATGGCCACAGCTCTGATGGCCATTCCAGAAAAAGTTCCAAAATTGCTTTGAAGTTTGGACTAGGTGCTGGCATTGGTGCATAGCTTCCCAAGGGGCATACTTCAAAGGTGACTGTAATGATATTCACCAATGAGGTATGTAGCATTTTTTCTAGGATGAGTTTGCAAATTTAATTTTCAGACCTTTATATATTAAGAAATTGGTTCATAAGATTATGAGAGCTGACAAATGTGGAATTTCTAGGGCAGTCTGGCAGTACTAGCATCAGGTAAGAATTGATGTTGTGGTCTTGGGTCTGAATTCTACAGGACAGGACAGGCAGGCTGGAAATTTGGGTAGGATTTCTGTATTGAAATCTTGAATTTATAGCCAGTTGGTTAAAAATGCAGGTCTTTTCAATACTCTCTGTTTCAGTAACTTATTAGAATGACTCATAAAACTCAGGAAAGCTCTATACTTACAAATTACAGTTTTATTGTAAAGGATACAAATCACAAGGACCAGCCAGATGAAGACACATATAGGACAAGACAGAAAGGAAATGCAAAGTGCTCTCTTCTCTTATCCTGGAATCAAGGTGTGTCACCCTCCCAGCACATCAATGTGTTCACCAACCAAGAAGCGTCACTTGAGTCTCAGTGTTTAGAGTTTTGATTGAGGTTCATTTTGTAGGCATGCTTGATGAAACCATTGTCCATGCGACTGAACTCAATCTCCAGCACCCCTCCCCTCTTCAGAGGTTGGGCTGGCCCAAAGTTCCAACTCTCTAATTGTGTGGTTAATCTTGCTGGTGACCAGCCCCCATCTTGAAACTATCTAGGTGCTTATCCTGAGTCACCTGCTTCCATTAAACCATGTTAATTAGTTATATTCTCTTCTGATTTAATTTTCCCTTCTAATAGGAAACGAGAAAGCACCTGGTTTCTGTGGTCAGTTCACTGGAGCTATAGTAAGGTACACTCCAAATAGCAGGGATATAAGAGAACCCTCAGAGCAACATTAAAATTACTGTGATATTTTATACACAATTAATTAAAACAAAGATCTGTGAAAGTACCCTAAAAAGACAAATATCACCCACAGGCAGGAGAGACAGGCCTGATCCCGTTAATTGACATGTCTAGATCCTGTTAATTAACAGTCCCTCCTATGGGCTATTAGCCAGCTATGAAGCATTGAAAAAGGGAGAGGTCAGTGAGGGCATCTTTGTTAGTCCCCTCCAAGGACTGTTGGGAAAGGATTATTATGGTCTCACTGGCAAGATGAATGCAATCAAGTGTCAGCCTAATTTCATTAAATATTCTAATCTTCATGTCCTTTGTTCTGATTCCAATGACCAAATAACATCATAATTATAATTAGATTTCCAAGAAGAGATCTGACTCTAGGGCAAAAAATTTTCTCATTTACCAACATGAATAACTTGTTTCAGCATGTGTGATAGGATATAGCTATAACTCCCCACAGAAAGCCCCTATGTCAGCGGTTCTCAACCTGTGGGTCGTGACCCCTTTGGGGGTCGAACAACCCTTTCACAGGGGTCGCCGGGTACTCATATGTGGGCGTATCTGTATGTGGGCCTGGACACGGATAGAGGAGCAGTGTCTCGGTTCCTAAGACCATTGAAAATATGTTTTCCGATGGTCTTAGGTGACCCCTGTGAAAGGTTGAGAACCACTGTCCTATGTAGACATACATGGAAAATTACTAGACCCCGTACCACAGAGGCAGATAAAAGATGAATTGCCTTAGTGTTGTGGCAGCCCAAATTTCAAGGCCTGGAATAGGGCCATGAGGCCCAAGTGGCAGGACTTGCTGATTAGAGAATTATTACCTTACATAGCTGTAGAAGTCATTTGCTCAATTGTTTACATGGCTAAGGCCAGAGACACCTCAGTTATACACTCCTCCAACTTGGCAAATATCTCACTCCATGTTGGCTACCAAGACCACCAAGCATGCCTGTCAAAAAATTGGAAGACAACTGCTATTTCAAGTTGTACATAGTTAGTTGTCAACCAAAATTTGTATTCTCCTGCCATTAACTAGATTTTCACTGGCAGTAAGATTTCCTGCCCGGGATTACACTTCTGGCCTCCTTTGAACTTAGATATAATTATATGACTAGTTGTTGTAAAATGGAATGCAAGCAGAATTGACATGTGTCACCTCCAGACCAAAGCTTTTCAGAAAGCTCTTCAGTATTCTCCACACTCATCCCCTTCAGCCACATGAATATCATTGATTACAAAACCCTAGAGAACAACAGGAATCCTGCAAAAAGGAATCACTACATGGAGGAAAGCTGTTCACTGACCACAAACAGCAGATGCATAATATTGTTTCATTAGTGAAAAGTAATGCATATAGCAGGTCCTCGAATAATGTCATTTGGTTAAACATAATTTCGCTACAACAGTGATGAGATGCTGTAGGAACTTAAGCATTGCTTATATCAATCAGTCTATGGTAAATTGGTTTCATTATACATCATATTACTTAAAGTCACAGAATCTATTGATGACATTAAAGGAGGAGTTACTGTATTGTGTTTGAGTTTTTGTAAGTGTGACGGTTTATTTATTATAGCAGTGAGCATTACTCTAACATACCACATGTATATCCTCTTGCCCTACTTGGCAGCATCTGGGGATAAATGGCTTAAAGCCACCTCGTACTGAGAGCTACGCTGTGATTGTTTCACATCCTCAAACCCAGGTGAGATTCTCTAATCTGGTCTCAGCAAACATGAGAATTGTATTTCCAGGATAAATTAACGGCTTGGCATTTCAGTTTTAGCATCAGTTGCTGTGAGCTTTCTCAATGTAGGTCTCTCTTAAGATATGGACCTACTTTCAGTGGGCTGACAAATTTAGATCTTCAAGTCCTGAAGGCTGTAAGATTCAGTCCCAGATTATGAAAAATTCTCCAATTGAAATGCCACGACCCAAGGCCTCTTAAAATTGCTATTGCTCTCCTAAATGTGCCTGGGAGACACGTTTTCTTGGATATTTCCCTTATACTTTCATGAATTCAACAAGGAGACAACAAGGAGAGGATGACCCAGCAGTCAAAAATCATAAATTATGATGCCAACCAAAGGTAGGCAGATAATGAGCCAAATGCATTAGAAATGTACAAGCTGGTATCTCTCTACCTCTCACTACTCAAAGTGTTATTTGCAGACCAGAGCCATCAACATCATAGGACAACTTGTTAGGAAGGCCCAAGTTCTGTCCCCACCCCAGACTTCTGACTCAGAATTAGCATTTTCACAAGATCCCCACGTGACTTGTATGTTCATCAAAGTATGAGAAGCACAGCTTTCGCCTTCCAACTCTTATCCCACCCTCACTTCTACCCCTTTTCCAAGATGAAAGGCCTGTGGGCATGTGCTAATCACCTGACAGCCATTTTTGTTACCCGAAAGTAGTTAACTAGAGGAAGAGAAATGGGTCAGGAAACCTGCTATCACCTGCCTTGTGGAGGGACCTAGAAGTGGGTTCAAAAGATGAATTCCTAGGGCCGGCCGAGTGGCGTGATGGTTAAGAACTGGCTTGGTACGCCAGAGGGCCCCGGTTCGGATCCCACATATGAGGGCCAGTGACACTGCCCTCCACAGCTAAGATGCTGAACAACAGCTCAACCTGGAGCTGGGCTGCCATGAGTCGCCGGTGACGGCGTAGGCTGCAGCCCCTGTGGCAGTGGGTTGCCATGGGTTACCGTGTGTAGCCAGCAGCCAGCGTGAGCGGCCAGCAGCCGCAGTGAGCGGCCGTCCAGAAGCCGTCGACTGATCTGCCTCAACCGGGAAGAGCGCAGTGATGGTGCCAACTTGGGCCAGTGAAGCAACGTCCTCCACAACTAGACTGAAGAACAAAAACAACAGCAACTTGTCTGTTCCCTTTCCCCCAATTCCCCAGCACTGTTCCCATCCCCCCAATTCCCCAATAAAAAATCTTAAAAAAAAAAAATGATGAATTCCTAGAAGCAGTTTCAAAATCCTCATCCCTGGTTTACCCTAAAGCTCCAGAAAGCCTCCAAGGGTTCACACAGGCACTTCCTTTACCTGGTGCATTCTCTGTCATCCTCATAGGCTGATTCAGGAAGAGAGCCCACTCCATGAAAGCCCGTCTTTCAACCTGGCGGGCCAGCTGGACTCACCTTGCTTTTCTCACCAGAGGCACTGTGTTCCCTATTCATGCAAGTATGAAAATTTACAGAGTTTAAATCCCTGAATTAAAATATTCAAATAGCCCCCAAAAGTCACGAAATTTCAGAATAAAATAAATTTCATTTGGAAATGTTTCACCATGAGAAACATGAAACTAAGTAAGCACAGGAAAATTTACACAGATGTTCCTCCAGTCCCTTTATTATCACCTCCTACTATAGGTGCCAAGACAGTAAATAAAGATGTGGAGAAACATCTACATTTACACCTATAAGAACAATTATATTAAGAAGTATATTATTTCAAGGAAGAGCTACTTCCCAGTCTCATGTCATGGTTTTCTTTCTTCATTTCTTCCTTCTTTCCTCCCTTTTCTTCCTTTATTTATGATTTTAAAATGTATCCTCAGACATTTAAGGAAATGAACATGTTCCAGGTAATTAAGTAAAATGACTGAAGATCTATTGATTTTACAATTCCAGATCTTTCAGAAACTTTAGTTCACACCTTATCAAAATCTATAGCATTGAACTTCTTTCAAACTCATCCCATTCTTTGAGAGTCCCTGATTTCCAAAGGAATTAGCAGATAAAAGTCATAATCTCCAGGATTTCATCATCATCAAAACAAAATAGGCATCAGTGTCAATAGAAGCACTAACACCAGCATAATAGTTCAAAAAGTCTTCTTTTGAAACCTGAGGGGGATAAAAGGCAAGAGAAAGAGAAGGAAATGGTGTCAAAATACGTGATTCATAGTGGAGCGTTTTACATTCTCCCTGGTACATTTTCTATTGAATTTAACTTGCCACTGGCAGTCAAGCTGGATCAGGTGAGTCTGGGAACCTGGCTTGCCTTTGCCGTCTGAGGTGGCCCTCTGAGGTGGGGCATTTGCAAGTGACACCAAAGACCCACCTGTCCCCTGGCCAGAAACAGTTCCCCCATAAAAGCCATCACTTTTTACATTAAGATAAAAATCCCTAGAGCTGTGCTATCCAATATAATAACCATTGGTCACATGTGGCTTTTTAAATTTAATTAAAATGAAGTATAATGAAAAATTGAGTTCCTCAGTCACACTTGCAGCTACCCAGTAGCCATGTGTAGCCGGCGGCTGACACCTTGGAGAGCACAGGTAGACAGCATTTCCATCATCACAAAAAGTTCTATGGGGCGGCATTGCTCTGGAGTACCCTTTGTATGATCATACTTATTATTATGTTATTAATATTGTAGGGTAGAGAAATTAATAGCTAAAGAACAGATAAAAATTCTTTAGGGAAAGGGAGTTGAGACCAAACACATAGGTAGAGACAGAACTAGAGAATGGGGCACTTCCCAGGACCCTTGGCCACCCAGGAGTACGCGATGCCTGGCATTCAGTAGCAGGGGGGGACCAGCCACAGGGGACGTGTCAGAGGGCACACTCCCCACTTCTCAGTTTGACCAGGATATGTGTTAGTGTTTCCTGGTTGGCCCTGTGCTTCCTATAATGGGCAATAAAGTTCAGAGCAAAGATACAAAAAGCAGGATTCAACCGCTAGTTTCCATCTCTCCTCCCTCTAACCTCCTTCCCCTATTCCATAACACCAGCCCCTAGAGTAACACTACTCCCCACAGTCCTAGAAGCACCGCTCAGAGGCTGGGAATTCTGGGAACAGGCTTGGCCAGCTAGCTGGGAGAAGTCCAACCCTGCAGGAAAAAGAATATTAATGTTGTATTTTCAAACCCCCATTCTTGGCTGCTAAAATAATGGTTTTATGGGTAATTGCCTTTTGTTCTTTTAAGAGCAACAAGAGAATATAATTTGAACAAGACCTTATCATTTTCAAAGAATTTTCATTACCTGTAACTGAAACACCACACAAGTAACATTTTTAAATGATCCAAAAGCACCATCAAGGAAATGAACTTTTAAAGAAGCATGATATGTGACATGTTAGCTATTAAGAAAAAAATATATTTTGGAAACACTTTAATGGAAATATAAACCTAGATGAGCCTTTTTATTACAAGAGTAGCTAATGTTTTAAGCCTTAAATTGAGGAAATTCTATTAAATCAGAACCAAGTTAATGGCAAGGAACAGTTTGATAATGTGACAAAATGACAAGGTTGCTATTATAAATTAAATCATTATCTAACTTTGTAGCTTAAAAACGTCTCAATCTCTGGTTCTTAGAAATGATACCCTAAATACTGCCACTAGAGACAAGTTCTTGCTTTTAATGCATTCATCATTTACCACTAGAAGCATGTATAGCTTTTTAAACAAAATATTTTTAAATTTGTACGATAGTCTTGGAAACTCTGCTTTAACATTGTTTTGAGTATAATTTGTATTCCATTTGTATTTTAAAATACTATCAAGATAATATTTACATATAGGAATGCCTCACTATCTAGAAAATAGTTTGGGTTACACTTATGCAAATAAAGCATTGTCAAATGGAACTTGGCCTGGGGCTGTTTTAAAAGGTATGTGGGAGCATTTTATGACTATCATACTAATTACGTTTATATGCAAATAGGTATCTCCGTGTATCTGTAAAACACATGACTATAGTTAGGCACAGCCCTTATAATCCTCCTTAAATTACTGACTTGCTTAACAATCCACCTTTTTTCAGTATAGATGAAACAAAAGTAAATTTTCACTCAAATTCTATCTAAATGAGCTCACTTAGTGGAGCCTGAATTATTGGTAATTTACTATATTCAATTTTCAGCTTCAAAGATAGGAAATGGATGTTGAATGATAATGCTAAATGAGATTTAAGGAACGACTAAACATAAAACTTATGGAATGGTGTTTTGTTTCCTAGTTTCTTTGGTAACTAGAGGAAAGGTCTAGGCTTCCTAAGGTAATGCCTGACATTTGATAATGGCCAGCATTGGCATTGCACTTTATCCCATCAAGGTGGACGCATTCTGAGGCTCACTATAACCCTAGAAGAAGCAAGCCACTCTGCCATCTGTCATTTTCTCTCGATTGCAGGCCCCCATTCTGTTCTAAGGCTCTCTCTGGGAGCACTGATTATCATCAATTCCGCAGGTGGCCTGAGCGGCCAGCAACTCAAGCCTTTCAAGTTACAGATCAAAATGTTCCCAGAATCAATACCAGTCTCCTGAGTGCCAAGCATTAAGGTGAGTGAAGAAAAAGTTACTCAAGTCTTTGATGACAGGATTACAAACTACGTACTCAGATCTTGCTTCAAATTCCTGGTGCTCAAGCTCTGAGCCCCTCATAAATTTACTACTGGTTCTAGAGCAGAAGGAAACTGGAGATGAATGACAGTTATTTGGGCAGCATAATACAGAGCTGGGTGTGCCCCTTTGCACATTCGAGCTGCTTCGCACAGTTCCAGAGTTGGGAACAAAAGTGGTAGCTAGAAACCCACAGGTGCTCATGACAACTTTGGTGAAACAGAAATTGCATCAACAGTGTTCAATGGCTGTTAGGGTTTGTTTAACACTCCCAAGAAAGAATAAATACATAAATTCCATTTACGCAGCACAGGGAGGAGAATCTAGAACAAAAGAAAACAGGCCATTACATTTTGAGATTTTCTTTCCGTGACGCAATATACCTTTCTGGTCATTGCAAGGTCCCTTATGAAAACCTCAGCTGCTGGTTGCTAGCTTATGTTTTCAGGGGGGTGTACTCCTAAGAAGCACCTTCCACTCTGTTTTGCTAAGGGATAATACTGGCTTTGGCAAAGCAGGTGTGAGAATGAAACAAGAAGACCACGCTGTTCTCAGAGAGGAAGAGCTGTTTTACCACAACCTCTCACCACACCAACTGAGATGGCAGAAAGAATGCTGCTCACACAGCAGTGTTCTCAGAGCCCCCATCAATCATTTGTTTAGGTTCCTTTCAACAGATTTCACCCGTCATCTGTTTTACAGCACAAAATTTTAGGGGATTCACGTAGCAGAGTATTTTTTGTTACAATGAAGGAACTAGCTATCGCCATCAACATTACGTATACGAGCAACTTGGAGAAGTAAAACTGTGCTTAGAAACATTGGCTTTCCAAAGAATCCATTATGTATCAATAACATTACACGACAATCTGTCAGACCTTTGGCACCTTTGGTTTTCCTTGAATTGTAAGCATTTCTAAAATGTAGAATGCTGCTGCACCTTTCAACAAGGTTTTAATTTAAAAGAAGAGCCTATAATTTCCAGGAAGGCAAGTCTGTTGACTAATCTCAAAAACTGGAAGTTGTGAGGTTTTTCATTCTATGTCCAAAAGAAATAAGCATAAATCCGAAAAGGTATAACACTCAGAGGGTATTAGTAGAATTTCAAGGAGGAGCAGAGGGCACCCACACACCATCCAAGAATCCTTTGGGTTAATTTAATCTCTCCACTTGATTAAACATCAGCAGAACAGACGGCATCCCCAGGTAGCCTGATAAGGGTTAAATTGTTACCTACTTGTGCTCTCGAGACTCAGTGCAGCATCTGCATGGAAAGGTCAATTATCTACCTCCTTGCGCTGTCTTGATAGATTGTCTACATTCAACAAAGTGACTACATAGCTCCCCAACACACTGTCCTATGAAGGGCCCCAACTGTCCTGACTCCAGAAGGTGGATGAGACTCAGAGACAGGAATCTCCGTATCCACACGTTCCTTCCTCGCTGATCACTTCACGACTGTGGGCTGGTAGTTTGGTTTGAAAGCTAGCAGTTCTGTTTACATTTATTCCAACTCATTGCTGTACCCCCATAGCCTAGAATAGAACCTGATACACGCCGTAGCTCAGTCAATAATTATTGATGGGATGTATTTTCAACCGAAAACCATGATGTGTGCAAAGTGAATCTGCAGTTACTTGGAGGGGGCCCAGCTCTGCCTTTAAAGCTGCTACTGGGGTATGAAATGTGACTATATCTGCCACCAAACCACAAAGATCCATACACTGTCCTCCAGAGTACCATCTGGGTCTGGGAAGAAATCCTATCAAGTTTTGAATGTCTATGAAAATCAGGCCCGCAGACTGGTTGGAAGAATTGTGCTTCAGCTTACAATTCAACTCAGTAGGGCTTACATTTCTCATTTGCATTATGAATGGAATTCAGACAGGATGTGAACCAGAGGCTGAGTCAGGGTTCTCTCCATTCTTGCCTCAGTTGGCCTTTGGGAGGGAATTAGAACCCAGATTCAGTACCGATTTTGGTGGCTTGTTCTGACCAAACCTGATTGATTCTAAGAATTTTTACATACATTGTTCCTATTTCATAAAAAGCTGCTAATTTCGTCCTCTTTTCTATATTTATTTGTTTGCTTCCTGTCTGGGGTCCAGGCCCAATAGGTAAGATATTCCCAAGAGCTGTTCTAGAGACTTTTTATTGTGTTTTCTCTCCTGACCCAAGTGTTTACTTTTCAAATTGCACATGGAGTTAATGTTGAAATTGTATAAGTTAATTAAGCAGGAAATACACTCAGAAAAGTATTAGCAAATTATTATTTTTTTTAATGATCCTTCTCTGTTCCTCCCACTGCTTCTAGGAGTAGAGTTAAATGATGAGTGAATCCTGACAAGGCCAGAAATCATAGCTAGGACTCAGAATAGGAGTGTAGTAGCCCTTGACCACTAGGTTGTTAGATCCTGTTTATGGAGGGCGAAAGGGACTTGGTGGAATCCTCACTTGTGGGCCCAGAACCAAACCTGCTAGAAGGGAGGTGACTGAATGTGGCCAAACACACTGTGAGACATGGGTTATCTGATAGCTGTGCCCTATGCCCCAATTAGACAGGAAGCAAAGAACAACTGGTGAAGACGAAGCTGATAGCTGCAACCTTGTCCTTGTTCAGAATCACATGCTAACTCTATGGCACCCATTAAGCAGAGGCATGAGTCATACCCAGAATCAAAGACACAAATCTATCTAGAGCAGTAGGCTTGAAACCCACCATGCCCAGGAAACTGGGGACATCTCCTTAGCTACAATCTGCATGGTGCAGGCTGCAGAAAATATGGATATTTCTTCTATACATTTCTTAATAATTTCTTCTGGCTTTCTATATCATTTCTATGTATTTCTTCATAATACGTGGAATCTTTTGGCTTCCCAACCTCTATAGAAGCCTAGGTAATAAATCCAATGGAAAACCAAACTTGTGTAATTAATTTCCAAAAAGGTTAGCTTTGAGGAGGCCCCTATTTTCAAGAAAAAAGTCCCTTTTCCAGCCTGTCACTAGGGTGAGAGTTTAGCTATTCAACAAAGAAAAAAGCAAGGTGTCCTCCTTGATGACTGCTATAATCCTCATCTGGAAACACTTGTTTTCACAATTTTTAAGTCAATGTATATCCTGGTCTCAACTTCTAAGTCTGAAAAATAAAAAGTAAACAAGCGAACTGATACAAAACACGGCAAGTTTGTTCAGAGTCACTTAAACATATGAGATTTTAAAGGAGACCATTACCCCAATACATGTCCCCAAACCAGTGGTTGAGTGCAGCTAGGGATAGAGGTGACAAGAAGGAGGGCTGTCCCTGAGGAACAAGGCAGAGTAGTATTACCTCCAGCACTATAGCCAGAGGACTTGCAAGTCACCGTGTGTTTATCCCTGGCCCAGACACAGAACACACAGAGCAAGACCTGTTTCAACATCTGTTTTCCAACAGCTGGGGCTGCCATTGCTTAGAAGACTTTGCTGGGGAGATTCTTACACATTAACAATATGAAACCAAGGCTTAGAGCTAGGAGGAGAATGCTTTGAGACACGAAATGTCAAGCCTGCTTCGGATTATGCCTGTGTCTATGCCTAGTCTATGTCACACCAACCTCCTTGTGCTGGTGGGAACTTCAACATTGTTAGCTAATGGCAGGGAGGGGAGAGATGAACATTCCATCAGGCAAAGGCTTGTTATATGGTCTGCCCACTCATAGGGCAAGATGTCCCACATAAAATCAGAGAACACAGCCCAATCTCAAAGTTCAACCACAGAAACACTTTGAACTGGTTCTGTTACTCAAGGAAATGGCCTTCAGCCTCACACCAGCCTTTAAAATGACCCAAAAATGTCATTTGAATTCTATTTGCCAAACCAAGACTTCCCTAAACTATGGGCAGAGAAACTCAAGATTCAGTTATAGAAATTGAGGAGAGAGATCCAACATGGTGGAGTAGATAAACACTGTGCCTGCATCCTTCTGGGAGCACATTAAAATTACAACTAAAGTATAGAACAATCAAGCTGAAGTCTGGGTGAACAAAAGTTTTATAACTAAGGATATAAAGAAGCCATGTGGAGACTCGTAGGAGAAGTGGAGATGCGGAACTGGCTAACCCCAAACCTCCGTGTGGTGGTTGAGAACCAGGAGGGATATCTCGGCCGTGGAGTTTCCCCTGAGAGGAGCAAGGAACCCCAGCCCCACTCCAGGCTCCCCAACCCAGAGCTGGTGCCAGGAAGAGGAGCCTCCACAGCATCTGGCTGTGAAAACCAGGGGATTCCAACCATCCAGGTGGGACGGAAGGTGGCGGGAAACCCAGGCGTCCTTTTAAAGGGCCCACACACAGACTCTTTCACTTCCAAGTACTCACCTTGGGCTCCAGTGGAAAGACAGTAACTTGGGAGGTGTCATAGACATATGGGGGACAGACTGAGTTGTGTTACTTTGGGCTGAGAGCTGGAGGACAGTCGCCATTTCCATGCGAGCAAGTCCTCCACCATGCAGCCAGCAGGTGGGCGCGATCTTTCTTGTGTTGAGCCCACCCCCACAAGGCCAAATCTGAATCTTATTGGTCTGATGAGCTCCTCTTCTCCACCCTGCTGACTCACTGGGAACCCAAACTACCCAATTCCCCCAATGCTGGAGGCACTTTTTTGAGAGAAGCAAGCCCCACCAACACTATACTTTTTCTTGGGAAACTATCATAGGCTCCAGGCCCCAGGCAGCTGGCAACTGGCCTGGGTGTGCTCTGAGACTTCTGCTGAGTAACTCCAGGCTTAGCACTGGCACCAAACCAGAGTCTACATTATTAACCTGGTGAACACACTCTTCCCACTCTAGTGACTCCTTGAGACCCTGCCTCACCCAACTCACATACTGCATGAGGCTTTATCAGTGGCTGAACCTTACTGGAGCCAGCAGGTGGCAGCAGGCCTGGGGTCTCTTGGCTTTTTGCAGAACTACTCCACACCTGGTACTGGTGGTAGCTGTCCTCAGTTTGCAGTGTGTCTCTCCTACATGCCTCCAACTTTAGCACAGGCAGCAAACAACCATGGATAGCTATATAGGTCCTACTAGACAGTCCCTGGCTGATCACAGGCAATGAATGACCTGGATCTGCACCAGAGCCCCTCCCAAAAGGCCCCAAAACCAACATACTTGTAGGTTGGCTTCAAACCACTGCAGTGCACCACCCAATTAGCCCCACAAGTGGCACACATAAAGGGCAGTCTCAACAGGCATCAGAGCCTTCTGGGGCAAATCCCTTCACTGGGTTAAGCACACACACACACACACACACACACACACACACACACACACACAGCCCCCATAAGCTTTAGACATGACCAAACCCCACAGCCAAACAGCGTGAGGGCCAATCCCACCCAGTGATATGCCAATAGCAGTCAAGGCTCAACTATGACAGGAGGGCACACACTAACCACACAAGGGACACTTCTGGAGCACCCAGTGCAAGTGACCAGGGAGACTGTGCCAACGGGCTCCACAGAACACCTACTATATAAGGCCACCTGGCCAAGACTGGGAGACATAGCAGATCTACCTAAAACATAGAAACAAACAGAGAGGCAGCAAAAATGAGGAAACAAAACAATACACCCCAAATGAAAGAACAGGAGAAAATTCTAGGAAAAGAACTAAACAAAATGGAGACAAGCAACCTATCAGAGACAGAGTTCAAAATAATGGTTATAAGGATGCTCAAGGAACTTTGTAAGTACTTCAACAGAGAGATAGCAAGCAAAAAAAGGACATAGAAACCATAAAAACGTACCAGTCAAAAATGAAGACTACAATAACTGAAATGAAGAATGCACTAGAAGGAATCACAGCAGTGATTGAAGCACAGGGTTGAATCAGTGATTTGGAAGAAAAGGTAGCAGAAAATACCCAATTGGAACTGCAAAAGGAAAAAAGAATCAACAAAAATGAAAAGAGTTTAAGAGACTGCTGGAACATTCAAGCATAAGAACATTTGCATCATAGGGGTACCAGACGGAAAAGAAAGAAAGCAAGGAATTGAAAACCTATTTGAAGAAATAACTACTGAAAACTTTTCTAACTTGGAGAAGGAAATACATATACAAGCCCAGGAACTGCAGAGAGTCCCAAACAAGATGATCCCAAACAGGTCCACCCCAAGATACATTATAATTAAAATGGCAAATGTTAAAGACAAAGAGAATCCTAAAAGCAGCAAGAGAAAAGCAATTAGTAACTTATAAGGGAGCCCCCACAAGATGGTCAGCTGATTTCTCAACAGAAATTTTGTAGGCCAGAAGGGACTGGCACAAAATATTCAACATGATGAAAAGCAAGGACCTATAATCAAGATTACTTTGCCCAGCAAGGCTATCATTTAAAATCAAAGGATTGATAAAGAGCTTCCTAGACAAGAAAAAGCTAAAGAAGTTCATTACCACCAAATCAATATTACAAGGAATGTTAGAGGGACTTCTTTAAGATGGGGAAATAAAGAAAAAAGATCAAAATTATGAATAATAAAATGACAATAGCTACATATCTATTAACAATTACCTTCAATGTAAATGGATTAAATGCTCCAATCAAAAGACAGGGGAAGGCTGAATGGATAAGCAAACAAAATCCTTACACACAAATATGCTACTTAAAAGAGCCTCACTTCAGATTGAAAGACACACACAGAAAGTAGAGAGATGGAAAAAGTTATTTCATGAAAATGGAAACGAAAAACACACAGAAAAAAAAGCTAGAGTAGTAATACTTATACCAGACAAAATAGACTTTAAAACAAAGGCTATAACAAGAAACAAAGAAGGATCCAGTAATTCCACTTCTGGGTATTTATCTGAGGAAACCAAAAATGCTACTTCGAGAGAATCTGTGCATCCATATGTTCATTGCAGCATTGTTTACAATGGCCAAGATATGGAGGCAGCCTGGGTGTCTGTTGACAGAAGATTGGATAAAGGGTAGGTGGTACATATATGCACTGGAACATTGCTCAGCCAGGGAAGGGGAAGGGTTCTCGCCATCTGTGGTGGCATGGATGGACCTGGAGGGTTATGTGCTGAGTGGAGGATGTCAGACAGAGAAAGACAGGTGCAATGTGATTTCACTTGTACATGGATTCTAAAGAACAAAACAAGCAAAAAAGAACAGAAACAAACTCATAGATACAGAAAATATTTTGATGGTTACCAGATGGGAAGGGGGTTAGGGTTGTGGGTGAAAAAGGGGAAGGGATTAAGAAGTACAAATTGGTTGTTAAAAAGTAGTTATGGGGATGTAAGGTAGAGCATAAGGAATATACTAAATAATATTGTAATAACTACATATGGTGTCAGAGGGGTACTAGATTTGTTGGGGTGATAGATGGCAGGGGCTTGGGGCAGGGTGAAAAAGGTGATAGGATTAAGAAGTACAAATTGGTAGTTACAAAGTAGTCATCAGAAGTGAAGTAAAGCATAGGGAATATAGTCAGTGATATGGTGATAACTATGCATAGTGCCAGGTGGATACTAGACTAGTCAGGGGGATCACTTCTTAAATTATATAAATGTCTAACCACTACACTGTACACCTGAAATTAATATAAACTAATATTGAATGTCAATTGAAATTGAAAAGGGGGGGGAAGGGAAGAGGGGAATAAGAGGTTCAGATTTCCAGGTACAAAACAAATAAATCATGGGAATGTAATATATAATATAGGGAATATAATCAATACTATTGTGATAGCATAATAAGGTGTCGGTGGTTGCTGGTCTTATCATGGTGATCACTTCTTTCAGTATATAAATGTTGAATAACTATGCTGTGCCCATGAAACTAATATAATATTGTATGTTAGCTATATTTTTAATAAAAAATCTTTTAAAAAAAGAAAAGAAATTGAGACCAATGTGTGGTCTCCTTCTAGTCCCCAAATTGTGACTGAAGCCCTTAAAGATTTACAGTCAGTCATAAAAACAGATGAATTCTTCCACCTAGAAAAAGACCATCTGAAAGGAGGTAGAGAAAGACTTTGGATACATGATGGGGATTACAATAAAAATATTCAAATTTTTATTAATGGCCAAGGAAGACACCTAATGTTTATTTTACACCTGTGTATATCATCCTGACTCTAGGAGCCTTACAGATCTTATTTTAATGAATTTCTATTTTAGAGCTAAGGAAACAGCCTCAGAGAGTTAGGTCACAGTTAACTACTGAGGGTCCTTATTTCTGCCCTAGAAAGTGCTGTGTGTGTTGACATGGAAGAAATACTGGGATGAACATGAACTCAAAATATGATCCTGGTTTTGAGCTGATGTTTAATCACTTGGAGACACGTGGTTGTACCCAAGGCCCAGGTCCCCAAGTCATACATTTAGAGCTTCCAGGCCGTTCTCATCATGACGATGAAATACACATCGGTGTCAATGGACGCGCTCACCCCTGCATAGTAGTTCATAAACTCCTCGGGGGTCACCTGCAGTGGAAAAGTTAGAAACAAAAACGAAACTTTGTTTCTCACCATTTCAGTGGAGGCTCATCTCCAGTACCTGTGAATGGAACAAAAATTTCAATCAAGGGGGCTTTTTAGTGACCAAAGCAGAGGAACAGATCTAAAACAAAAAGTGAAGTTGAGGATGGCGGTGACAGATGGCATAGGGAAAGAGAGGCAGAAAGTCTTGAAAGTTTCCAAACCAACCTAAATGGAAAATGAGATACAGGTTCTCTCTTTCTGTAAGAACAGAAGCCCATCTACTCAGATAAGTGAGTCTGAAACTGAGAAAAGGAAACAAGAGTTTTTTAACAATAGTTAATACTGTCTGTGGCACATCAAAAACAACATCTCCTGTCCTTGTTTCAGGGCAAGTAATGTTTTACCTTTCAAAATATGGAGTTCTGTCCTGTGGGTAAAGAAACAGATTTCTAGTTAAGCACTCCATGACTTCATGCTTTTTTCCAATGCAAATTATTCATTCAAAGCTCAGAATTTGTGAAAGAAATGTACCCCATTTTGTGCCTCCCACCTCCACTCAGGGTTCTCTCTCCATCCTACGCTTATAACTCTCTCTTTGGAATATCAACTAAGGTTTTTAATGTATGCTAGGATTTTATATTGCTTTACTTTTAAGAAGAAGAAAAAAGTTATCAATCTTATTTTTTAATAGGTGTAGGTGATATGTACACTCCAGTTCAACCATATTGGCTGGTGGGATTAGTTGATTCAGAGAGAGAACTGTCCTCCTAACTCACTAACCAGTCAGTAAGCCCACTGCATAAGCCCTGCTTATATGGGAGGACACACATGCAATAATGGTGGCTGTTTGGGAAATTTATTCTTCTCCAGTTAGCCCTCAATTTTAAGTGTCACGAGGGATTAAAAAGCTCACAAAAAGTGAAACCCTTCAATAACTCAAAACCCCTTTCTAGACCATATCAGCAAACTCCTCTCTCACGGAGCATACCTACCTATCTCTTCCACGAATCATATGAGCTGACTGACCCACTTACCTTTTTTGCTGAAATTATAAGTAAACAGAAAAAACGTTACAGAACCCAGAGTTCTCTCGTTATATCTACCCCTGCCCCCAACACCACCACTAAATAGCAAGAAGCAGTAGGAAGAAAAGCACCAGACTGAATTAACAGTTGAGTTGTGTTTATCAGTGGTCTGGAAGTAGAAATAAATGATATATGTACATAGCTTTTATTAAAATTAGAATACTGTTAATGCCTTCCTTTTTTTGAATTTCTCTCCTTTGCATGCCCCACTCATAGAGTGTTAAACCTCATCTGGAAATCAGATGACATAAAACTGGAAGTCAGAGCTACTATGTTTGTTCATTTCAGAAAAGGCCGTCAGTTATTCTGGGAGAAGTGTTTACTTGTTTCCTGAGACTCAACTTATATTGGGAATGGCCTGAACCACAAATTCTATGATTTCCCCCCATAAGTTTGCCCTCATTATAGTAAATAACTTTTCAGTAATAGTAGCTATTATTATTTATTTTGTTTGACATTAGGAAAAATGAGAGAATGGATACACCTGTGCTTTTGGGTGGCCTCTTGACTATGCTACCCTTAAATGACAGAATATGTTATATAGGGGAGAATGTCCCAGATGGGGGCAAGAGAAATATCTGAGTCATGACACAGAAGACAATCCCTTTTTCTCAACTCAGCCTAATGAGAAAGTCATAAAATAAGTTTGGGTTATCTACATAAACCCAGTACTATACTTAAAGTATTTTTAATTATTAAAAAATTTCTGTATGAGATAGGTGAGGCAATAAGACTCACATTACCTCAAAGGCTAATCTAGTTCTAAGATATTTTTCAAATATTTGTAATTCTAAAATAATGGGTACACATGAAAGCTTCAAAACCTAAATATTAAAAAAATAAGAAGTGAAAGTCTCCCCCATTGGGGTGGGGTTTAGGGACAGAACGCCTCCATCCAAACGACGCGTGCCCAGGCTGCTCAGAGAGCACTGTGGGATGTCAGTACAGGATCTACGACATCAAATTCCATGACTGCTGCGAACCCCGGGAACCTTCATGACTACCTGAGAGCTTAGCTAAAATTATTAAAAATTCACCAATTTGATCATTATCCTTGGCTAGGGAGTATGCTAATTTTCTTGTCTTATTCTAAATTCAGGCTTTTGTTTGGATATCAGCTATATGTTTTAAACTCAGTGAGTGCACTAGCTTCAAGGGTAGCTATATTTCACCACAAGAAATCTTAATGCATGAAACAACTCAATCTGAAAAAAGATAAAATAGGGCTAATTATTCTCTTTATGAAGTTCCTGGGCATTTAAAGTATGATTCAATGTACAAAAGTCTGAATCACACATCACTTGTCAGAAACATTTTCATTATGTCTGTTAAATGAGATATCCCTATAAAGCCCTTAGCATGATGCCCAGTAGATAATAAGTGCTCAGTAAACATTGCCCAGATCAAAAATTATGCTAAATGAGGTTAATGTGCATATTACATTTACTAATTTAAACAGGCACTTTTGAATCTTCTAGAGGCAAAGATCTCAAATACGAATGTCTTTTGGGGCACTTATTAAAATTGTAAATCCTTGAGCTACACACACACACACACACACACACACACACACACACACACACACACAGATTCTGTAGTTCTGTGCTGCAGACAGCAATATACATTATTAATGCAAATTCCAAACGATGATCACGCACAGAGTTGAGTGTGTGATATTTGGGTGACATTAAATACTGCAACTGCTAAAAACCCGTGACCTTTAGGAGCATTTGAGAGCTTCACATGGTGTGTTAAGACAAATGTCAAAAGGGACGGGGGTGGGAACTTTAAATCAGCTGAATCACAACAGCTGGCTACACTGACTTGGGTTAAAGAAAAGGGCAGCTGAGATTTCCCCTGGCAACGAGGAGGAACCACCTGCAGAAAGGAAGCAAACACACCCTGGGATCCCATGTAGAGCTGGGCTAATTTGGGGAAATGGCGGTTGACTATTTTTCCACTGCCATCTCACAGATTAAAGGCCAGCAATATTGGAAGACAAGAGTTCTGTTATTTCTGTCCCTAAGCACTTGGCTGCCCCCTCTCCCCGTCCCACCTCTTTTTAAATCTACTTCTGCAATCTCTTCAATCTAAAATGGAGGGCAGGGGCCGGCTGAGTGGCTCAGTTGGTTAAGAGCTCGCTCAAGAGTTTGAGCTCTGAGCAACAACGGTTTGATTCCCGGCCCGAGCTGAGAGTTGCCAACAGGTGGCAGGATGGCTCAACTTAAAACAAACAAACAACAACAACAACAACAACAAAAAAAAAAAAAAAAAAAAAAAAAAAAAAAAAAAAACTAAAATGGAGTGCATTTCTTTCTGTCCCTGGCAGGAAAATGTTGGCTGAAAGCAAAGTTCTTCCTATCCTGCTCACCCCTTGCTAATACGACTCACCATGAAGTTTTGTGGAAAAAGTTGGGGGAAATTCCTTTCAGAAGGGGAAGGCTTTTTTCCTCTTCCTATCGTCACCATCTCTTTTTCCCGCCCACTTTCCCACTAATCCTTCCTGTATGACACAGGGGTTCAGGGTAACCTCCCCAGGGCTCTGTTGTTGCTGACTATACACCAAGGAGAGAACTCCCTTTCCTGATCACCATAGCCTTCAGGACAGCCAAGAGCAGAACTGGTTCTGGGTTCAAAAGTCCATTTATGGTTCTTGACAAAAGACAGGTGACATTTTGGGCTCAGCCTTGACACAGTTATGAAGATATAATTTCTAACCTTACTTACCAAGCTATGCATTTGTAACCTGAAGTTAACAGTTAATGGAGATGGGTGGTTACTGCAGTTTAGAAGTGCAAGTTAATTAGTTAATTTCAAAGCCCATTAAAGGTTAAATCAGAGTAAATGCTGTTATCTGGCATTCCTTTCACAGAGCTTCCCTTAAATGGCATTTCCATGGAGCACAGTCTGATGACAAATGATGCTCATAAGGATGTGTGTGAAAGGCACTGCAACATCCTGAAATGCCTTGTGAATTATGTTTCAAAAAATTGAATTATGGTGTCATTTTAAAGCTAAATATGTTTATTATAGTGTAGTTCATTGGAAAGTGGCTAGCTGTGTTTGGGAAATGTGGTGACCATGAAATTAAATAATTAATCAAAATACCACATTCTCCAGATGATGGGTATTTATAATAGCTTTATGTGGATCCCCTACCAATATGTGAGAGAGTGCACACACATACACATACACATCTTATTACTTTAGTTCTCAACTCCCCAGTAAAATAAGGAAATATTTTACTTCTGTTCTATTTATAACAACTATGGTATAAATAATTGCTAAGGCTTTCGACTTATTTCCCATTTACAGTGACAGACTGGATAGAAGAAACTCCACTTAGATTAAGCTCTTTTACTTACTATTCCATCTTTGTCATAGGGTGAATCAAAATTATCCAGAAATTTCCTGAATACTTGTTCCTCAGTCCATTCTCCATTTTGGTACTTTGGATGGTGTTTTCCATTGTACACCTCACGAAGGTCTTCGATTGTTATAACGCCATCTCCAGTTTTGTCTAACTTCCTGAAAGCTTGCATAATTACCTCTTTTCTGGCTCTGGACATTGGAGGCTAATAAACAGAAAACACACACAGGCATATGCAAGCAAATGAGCTATTCTGTGTCATATATGATAATGTATCTTATTCATCTCAATGATGTGCAACTGGTTTTGTGTCATCAAATGATTGCTCCCAAAAGCCCCTAAATCTGTTTTCCATCTCCTGCCCATCACCATCATCTCCACAGAGTACTAACAACTTCTGACAACAAACCTCAAGATAGCCAACCCAAACCACGTGAAAGCCAAACTCAGCAGACACACTGATTCATGGGGCCACTTACTCTTAACGTGAGAAGAAATTCATTGAAGTCTATTGTTCCATTTCCATCTCTATCAAACCTCCGGAAAAGCTCTTCTGCCTCTTCTTTTTCCATGACTACAGCATAATCATTTAACCCTTTCACAAATTCTTTGAAATCAAGAGTTCGGTTATTATTGTCATCCATGATTCGAAACACTCTGAAGAAAATACACACGCACGACAAGAAAAGAAAAAAAGCCACAAAGAACAAGGTTAAACACAAAGGTTTAAAAAAGAAAACCACTCTCAACGTTTTTCAAACTAAAATACAGAAGCTTTAGAGCCTTCTCTGAACCCTCCTCCCCAAATTGGAGAACCTCTTCCCAGCATCTCAAAAAAGAAAAGAAACCTTTGGGGGAAAAAAAAAAGTACTGTATGATTCCAGTTGACACCCCAGTAACAACAAGCACACCTAGAGCTTAGATTTTGGTCTCTAATACAATTCTCCAATAATGGGAACTGGACTTCTTGGAGAAGGGGCTGATTCTAGGATTGGGGCAGAAAACACATAAGATGAGCTTGGAGTATCTTATACCAGAAAGTAAGAAATTGCTCCAAGACAAAACAAAACAAACAAACAAACAAACAAAACCCTGCAGTGATGGGGATACATCAGTGGGACACAGGAGCCAACTGAAAGAGCTCCCAAAGCCAAAACTGGAACAACTGGAGCGATAAAATAAAGTAGTGTTAAATTATAACCTAAAGTATAAAATAAATATCCATGAGTCCATACTGGTTTAAGTAAATGATTGAATAAGTAAGTATGGAAGAAGAGACAAATTTTTCTTGCAGAAGAATTCCAAATAAATTATGTCATACTCTGCCCTCAAGGAGGGAAAGGATACTCCTTACTTCCTAAGTTTTACTGGCTCTGCATAGACTTCCTTTCAAAGAGTACAACATAGGCGGGGGGTCGGGGGGTGGAGTGTAACTTTACATTGGAGAAGCTAGGCAAACACCGCCTCCGCCAGATGATCAAGGTCAACATCAATAATGATAAGTCATGTTGACAATATGAATCCTTGATATGATGTAGAGAAAATGACACTTTATTTTTATGGTCCAGTGAAAACCATAACCCCAATCTAATCATGAGAAGAAAGGGGAAGGGACCTCCGCTTGAGTTGAAAAGAGATTTGGGGAAGGGCAAGACCAGTAAGGAGGAGGAAGGCGAAGGGCACATGACAGCAAATGGCCAAGGATGGGACAGTGTCTCTTCACAATACACTGATGCCCAGAGGAGGGGCTGTTAGGGAGTGTGGCGTAGGCAGCAGGAAGGACTCAACTGAAGGGTCCGGGAGTGGAAGAGAGGGCGGTGATCCTGAGGGTCTGCACCAAGGATAAAGACGTGGACTCAGGATGAAAGAGGTGGAGCTGGAGTGATACAACATGGTAGGCAAGTGGGCTTGTCTTCCCACTGGACTGTGACAGGCTGGCCATCAGGGTCCATATGCCCACAGCCTGGGCTTCTGACAAAGCTGGGCTTTGTCTGTTGAAAGTGACATTCCCAATGCTCAGTGCCTTGCTGGAAACGAAGCCTTCCACAGACTCCAGATGTGAGGTTGGATTTCCCTGCATGATACTCTCTATTTCTCTAATGTACAACTTCTCACTTCACGGTGATTCCCGTTTTTGTGACTCTCAGTCTCCTAGTCTAAACCCTCCGTGAGCCCTGGAGAAGACTTGTTCACCCATGAACACCCCAAGATGTGCACATGCCTGGCCCGGGCAAGGCATTCCATCGGGGAGGCTTACAGGCTCCTTCCCCTTGGGTTTCTCAGTCCTGAGGGCTACTCACACTATCAGAGGGCCAGGGACCAGGACCTACACAGCTGGGGAACCCCACTGGCAGCGAGCTGTTAGTTACCCAACAGGCAATTTCAGCGCCTCTGGAAATGAACAAGACATGACTGCCTGAGAGCAAAACTCCAAATTCTGCAATCGTGTCTAAACCGCTATTCCTTCCTCTTCCTTCCAAGCCTCTATTGTCGCAGCTTCGGGAAATGTTTCTCTCCTTGTCATACTCGGTGTCTCTAGTACTGGGGCAAGCCCTCCCTTCACTTCAGGTTGTCCCAGTAGCTGCACTCTCTTGCAGCAGACATGGACCTTGCTTAATCCCGGACTAAACCAAAAATTGTCACAAGGTACCTCAGAGATCAATTCTTCCAAACCCTGCATTTACAATTAAGGAACTGAGAACCCAGGAGGCAGTGACTTCCTCAAGGTCACTCTGGTATTAGCCTCATCTAGCTGTGCTCAGCCTCTCTCCTCCACCTCCCTGCCACCCATGGCCCGGGTCCTACCTGCCAAGTCCTTTGATGCCCGCGGAGCCCCTGGCCAGGCACTGCAGCCGAAGTCTTTCAATGGGGTCAGTGGCTGTGGTGAGCTTTTTGTTGGCTTGGATTGCCATCTCTCGGTCATGGCGTGCTGTCCCTGCCATCTGAGAAGGAATCCACAGCACATTAGCAGAGCTCAGGCCTCGTCACCTGCCCTGGCTGGGCAGGGTGACAGCAGCCTTGCGGAGAATAAAATTTATAGCATGCTTTCTCACTTATTTCCTAAGAACAGTGTCAAACTTCCCAGAATTTCCAATTTTTACCTCTACCAACTGTGTGCCTGGCATATTTATTACTTACTTATGTAGCCCTGAGGACATCTGATATCTCCAGCCTGGACAACAGTTTTAAATATAGAGCCATTCCCCAGTATGTTTTCATCTTTCTGAAACTCTCCTACCGCCATAAAAAAAAAAACAACCATTTCTCTATACTCTTTTTGAGCCAACCTTATATGCTTTATTCTTTTATTTAGAATTCTCCATATTTCCTTTGACTCCACATTTAACGTTCTCCCCTTTGGACCAACCATTATTTTTTGTTACTTCTGTCTTCACTGAGATTCTCAGCACTGGGGCCTTTTTTATTCCTACCAGTAGCCAATATGTGTTCCCTGATTAACAGGTTAGTGTCCATTTAACAACCAACTAGGTTCTCAGGACAGAAAAAAAGGTAAATAGACACTATCTCTCTCCTGACAAATAGATTTATCTTTTCTTCTACAGTTTGGCTTATGCGTGTTAAATATTCAGAAACAGGAGAGAAGGTGGATGTGGTGAAGCACCACCTCCTGGGAGGTCCCTGAGCAACTTACAAACCTCCTGTAGTTGGGCCTGAGCTCTGAGAACCTGCACAACAGTGGAAACCTACTGGGCTGGGCCTGGTGACCCTGGTGACTGGGTTCTAGTCCTGACTCATCAACCTGCTCCTGGTGGCATCTTCGATTCTTCCTCCTCTGTTAAATGGAGGGAAAGGATTCGATGATCTTTAAGTTCCATCCCTGCTACAAAAACCACTAATCCTCATATAAGCCCACTGACCCAGTAGATGGGGTATTCTAGATATTACTCTTTACTGTGAATTGTGAATGAAAGGAGCAGGGGAGCTTGATAGAAGATCAAGCTCAAAGATCAGTATTGGAGGTGCAGAAAAACGGTGTTAGGAGGGAGCCTCCCTTGACTCACGGGCTCCCCCTGCTGGCCAAAAGCCGGCACTTCCCCTGAGGGCCACATTGGGATGGGATTCTGATTTGTGCTGTTCTAAAACTGTTCCTCTCCAATACAACCCATTAGGTCTCGCTACAAAGTTCTCATTTAACCTTAGAGAGGGAATCTTGAAAAGAAAACAGACCCGAATAGATAATTCAGAGATGCAGATGCTTCACTGTCTCATTTCCCACAGCACTGCCCAAGAGCCAAGTGATTGGGTTTCCTCCCTGTTGCCCCTTTTTTTCTGATTCCCATCACATGGGTGAAGACAGCAGTAATTATTCTCAGTTCTCTTAGACACAAAGCCACAGAGCAGACCTTTGCCTATTATATCCCAGTTGTTTTACTCCACATTAGGAAGAAATTGCTTTGCCTAAAACTACTGTAATATGGAGCCTTACATACTCCAACACCAAAAGCAGAGGTTTCCTGGGATTCCAGATGGCCACACACAGCACCATTAGAGACCTGCCTCTCCCCTGCTGTCAGGCATGTCCAGAGAGTGTGATCTAAACTCTCATCCAACAAGGACACCTGAGCCCAGGTCGGTTGCCTTCCTGGCAGCATTAATTTTTCTAAAGCTCTGTTTGCATGTTACTATTTTGTCACATGCTCTCCAGGTGACAATGCCCAGACCTTGTCCCCAGCTTCCAGCCCTAACACCACCCCCACAGTAACTCCATTACAACCAGAATCCTGTGTCATGTTCACCAATTCAGTCTAGCTGTCTCCTGCTCCCTTCTGTGTCTCTGCCTGAGGCACTTCCCAACCCCAACCGTTTTCTGCTAATGGCCCCAGCCCTGGCCCACCCTTCCTGCTCCTCCCATCATGCCCTCCTCAGTCTCTAAATCCACCTCAGGGCCTGCTCCTTGCTGGACCCCATTTTCTCTCGGGCCCCTCTCTCTTGCTCAGTGCCACTGGCCCAATGGTTGTCCCCAGCCACTCACCTCCCTGTCCTCGTGTCACTTCCACTCCTTCTCCCCTGCCTTTCCCACACTTCTCTACCTACTCTGATTTTCCACATGAACCACGGCAGCAGGTGGGGAATGGAGAGAGATAGAGGCTAAAATCCCACAGGAGGGAAGGGAAGGTCTGGCTCTCAGATCTGAGAAAGAAGGCAAGAAAAGGAACCACTGTGGGGCCTCTTGGCACATCTTCAGGATACTAAAACCTCAATGGCTAACATTTATTGTGCTCCCACGATGTGGTAAGCATGTATCCAGTCCTCGTAAAAACCTAGGAGCTGAATTGAAAACAGGGACTCAAACAAATACACATATACCCATGTTCACAGCAGCACTATTCATAACAGGCAAAAGGTAGAAACAACCCAAATGTCCATCTATGGATGAATGGTTGAACAGAATGTGGTAAATATACATAGAGAGGAATATTATTCACCCATAAAAAGAATGAAGCACTGATACAAGCTACAACATGGATGAATCTCAAAAACATTATGCTAAGTGACAGACTCCAGACACAAAATGTCACAGATTATATAATTCCATTTATATAAAATATCCAAAATAGACAAGTTCCTAGAGACAGAACACAGGTTGGTTGTTGCCCAGGCCTAGGAGGAGGGGGCAACGGGGAGAGAGTGCTTAATGGGTGTGGGGTTTCCTTTTGGGGTGATGAAAATGTTTGGGAATTTAATAAAGGTGCTGGCTGCACAATGTCGTGGATGTCCTACACTTTTTAAAATGGCTAATTTTATGTTATGTGAACTTCATCTCAATTAGAAAAGAAAAACCTATGAGCTAGTTATAACTATCTTATTTCACAGATAAAGAAAATCCGGGCTCAGAGAAATCAGGTAAGATGCCCAGGCCCCACAGTCAGTGTACACCGTCAGGACAACGGGGCCCTGAACCATCACGCACTGCCGCCTCCTCCTTTGGCCAACTTGGGAACTAAGGCTTGGGTTGGTAAAGCAACTTGCCCCAACGTCCTGGCCAACACCCAACACAGGACCTCTGACTCCCAAGCAGTGCTCTTTCAACCCCACCATTGTGAAGTAATGCAAACGGATTTCAAAGCACAATTTGATGGCACCCTCTCCTAGGAAAGCAGGGTAGAGTCGGGGAGGACATCCCATCAGTTCTACCTCCTGCAGCCAACACTACCCAGTGATGACGCAGGCAGTCACCTGTGGAGTCTAATGTGCTATATTCAGACACAATTTTACATTCTCTCCTGCCAATCTACCGTGATTACTTGAAATGCTCATATTAACTACCCGTTTGAAAATTTAATTTTATTGGGGGTAACACTGGTCACTTAACATGATATATAATTTTCAGGTGTACCACGTGATAATCTGATATCTGTATACCGTATTGTGTGCTCCCCACCTGAAGTCTAGTCTCCTTCCGTCACCGTATACTTGGCCCCCTTCACCCACTTCTCCCTCCTCTTACCCCCTTTCCCCTCTGGTAACCTCCATTCTGTTGTCTGTATCTATAATTTTGTTTTTGTTTTGGTAATTTGTTACCTTTGTTTTATATTCCACATATGAGTCAAATCATAAGGTTTTTGTCCTTTTTAATTGTCTAGTGACCCAGCTCATCAACAAATAGCTAATGTTTATTGCATCCTATTTTCAAGGAGCCAGTGCTGGAATGGAGAGATTGCTCTGAGAAGCCAGCCTTTGATTAGGAATCTTAAAGTGAGTACTGAAGTCCCGTGGTTAATCAGCATAGGGAGCAAAGTTTACTAAGAACTGAGGGCTTTCAAAGAAGGCGCAATCAGGTAGGGTCTTGGTGAAGACGGGCGATACTCAGGCCATCTGAAGTTTGCCTAAAGGCACCAGGGCATGTGTCACGGAGATCACAGGGCCTCACAAAGCGTACCTGACTCCAGAAGACCTTCTCTGAGCAACCGGTTAGCCAGGCCATTGCAAGGCAGGGAATAGGTTGCCCTCCAGATGCACTTGGCCGCAGCGCCACCTGGTGTTAGCATCGCGTCTGTGCATTTTCCCTGCCAGGCGCGCGTTGGGTCCATTCCTTCCACAAATGTCTAGAAAGGGTTTAGCAAGTACCGGGCACTGTGCTAGGAGTTGCGGAAAGAGGCAATAAGACATCCAGTGCAAACAGCCTAGGGAGTTAGGAAACAACCCAACTACTGGGCTGCAAAAAATCGGAAAAGGGAGGCTACCCCAGCCTCGGAGTGTGGCTTCCTGAAGATGTTTCAGAGGTGATGTCTAAGCTTTAATCCTAAAGGAAGTCCGTAGTTATCAGGCTAAGGTCACAGGGATGGAAGAAGAAAGGGCAATGTAACTCCCCAAGTGCCTTATAAGGCCAAAATGAAAGAGAAAACCGTACAATGAGAGAAAGCAAGTATTTTAGGATGATTGGAGAATTAGGGGTGTGTGTACCGGGTGAGAGAAGGAGTTGTGGAGGCAGGGAGGGAATGTGAAAAGGGGGAATTTGGAGAGAGGTGAAACTGGGCAGGTAAGCAGGCACCAAAGCACAAACAGCCTGGGACACTGTGATAGGGAGTTTGGATTCTGTACTGAGAGCAACAGGAGACCGCAAAGGGTTCAAATGAGGACGCGGCGGTCTGCGTTGTAAAAAGAGCCCTCTAGATGATGCAGTGTGAAGAATGGACAGGAAGGTGGGGCAGTCTGACCAGTGAGAGATGAGAGGCCATGCTGGTGACAGTCAGGTGAGAGGTCTTGCTGCCTGGAGAGAGGTCTGGCAGTGTGGACGGAGATCATAAAGCAAGCGA